ACTGCAACATGAAGCACATACCACACTGCTGAATGCAACACGCTCTAAATAAGATTGCTTAAGCCCTGTGCTGCTGGGCAGTAGATTCTTCTGGGTAAAACAGTATGTGCCACAATCACAGTCCTCAAGGAAATATTCTTGAGGATCCATTTGCACTAGAAAGTGTTGTGTAGCCTATCAGCAATGTTCTGAACAAGACACCAGAAATTAAGGTTTAATTTTGATCTGCTTGCCTTCTCAAGGTGCTTTAGGACCGTAGTCTTCACGGTTATGACACCCACAGTAACAATATGTCTACAAAAAGAGGTACCAATCCAAATTTTTAGCTGGCTTCCATGGTTGTCTAGAGAGGAATAAAAGAGCCTACACATCTGCCACATTTATGTATGCGTTCCTGTTCTGTCCCTTTAGTGATCCTACTAATTCTGAGTTTCTAGGCCAGTTTGGGGCAAACCTCCAGAGGGAAGACACCTCAGACACGCACAAGCTTCATCAACTCTCTGGAACAGGCAGAAGGAAAGGGGAAACCCTAGCTCCAATTGTACTAGAGAAAAGATCCGGGATGAGTTTATCCAGGGATTTCATCCAGTCTTATCCTCCAGGATGATGAAGAATTGAGAACTGAATTCGTCAATATCATCTGGGATACTGAAGAACCCAGCCAAAAGCTCAAATCTCAGAACACAAGTATAACTGAAATGAGCCTTCTTTGGTCCCTCTGAGCATGAAATTAAAGGCAAAATTATCCTGTAATTAGTCCCACTGCCTCCCTACCACTGTTATCTTTTCCCTTTCTCTTCCTCATCTCTCTAGACTGTAAACTCATACAGCTGAAAGACAAAAAATAGCAGGAACTCAGCGTTTGTGGGAGACCTAGCAGGCTGTAGTTTCTGCTGCCCTTGCAGGAATCCCCTACATACCAGCTACAAAACTGAGTTATTCACTGATTTTTACACAGAAATCTGAGCAGACAAACTGAAGCTAGTCCGGCTTGAGTTCTAGTACTGGAAAAGTAGGAATCAACACAGATAGTAGCAAGATACTAACGTTTACTGCAACAGAGTATACTCACACATCAATTACACATCGACGTATTAAACCAGACAGCTGTACTGCCTCTCCTTGTAAGCCCATTTCCTTAGAAGTTTTTATACAAAAAGTGCTTAAACACCAATTCCTCTGCAGCGTCTAGCCCTCTAAGCAGGGTGATTTGACTTTTATGTCTTCACACAGACTACAGAACAAATTCAGAGCGGGTTTGGAAACCTCCCTCCTCTTACATGCCTGGCTGCTGCTAGGAACTGCATCAGACAACAGCTCTGCCGTGTCGTTCCAAGTGCAAACATTACAGCGACATTTAGTGCGTCATTAAGCCAAAAATTCCAACTTTTCTGCCTACCAGTTGCTGAAATTTTTCAAAATGTATTAATACAAGAGCTCTCTCCAGCAACCTCCCCACACCAGAATGTGAAAGGGACTCCAGTATCAACTGCAGGGGGTGAGAACCCTGCTGCCCATCCATGCTGCTGCTGGCTGCTCAAGCGGCCAAGGGCAAACACCCAAGATGTGGGTCCAGAAGAGGGGTAACCTCCCTGTTCTCTTCTCCAGCCCTTCAGGCTTCTTAAGCTAGAGGTGGTTTCAAATATCAAGTAACAATGAGTTTTCCTTTTGTGAATTTAGCTACTTTCCCAACAAACTCGAGGAATTTCTTGATATTCACAAGGTCCTATGGAAGAGGCTCAGCCAGCAAGGGCTACCAGCTCCTGGGTGTTTGCTCTCGACAGCTGCAAGCTTCATTTAATGCCCTTAAATTCCCATAATAGAGGAAATGAGTAGCAACAGCACCACGAGACTGCCAACAGTTCAAAAGTAGACAGTCCAATTACATGGCTGGGAGTACAATTCCACAGAAGTGTGGAATTCTGTTCCAACAGAAACAGGAACTAGTCCAGATTGGGGAAAGTTACTACATACTTCCACTTTCACTCACTGCATGATATAAATTCAAGCTTCCCAATAAAGAAAATGAAGGACATGAAGGTATTGATATTTTTTGTACCTACCTGGTCCACTCAACATAGCTTTTATTGTTCCTGATGTTAATGCATGCTCTCTTTTTACAATGAACTCATGGCCATCAGAGGATATTAACTTTACATACATAGCATCTGGGCCCTCACAGCCACCGTATGTTTTCTCTTCTCCATCTATAATGGAAAACAGATTAATAGTTTCAGGACACAATGAGCATTACTAAGAATGTAAGTTGCAGTCTTGTGCACAGCTGCATTTGCAACTTCCAATACCACCAAAAATAAGACAGAAAAGACAGAAGTATTTTTATAGTTGGGAAAAAAATAAAAAAGCAAACTTCTTTGAAGAGAGTGCAGCCTGTTTCAAAGTAGGATTAAAAAAAAAAAAAAAAGAAAAACTCAGTAGATTTAACTTCCCTCCTCCTTCATTTCTCAATCACCAAATATTGACATGATTTCAAAAAAATCTACAAAGAGCTCAAATTTTCCTTTAGACAAATTATCGAATGGAAAGTATTTTTAAGAGCATGCTACTTCTTCCCTCCATATGAGACGACAGCCACATTTATCATGCTAACAGTGTACTAAAAGCTATCTAAATACCTATCAATGTTTAAAAGAAAAACAGCCTGCAAGGCAAAAAGACCTTTAGGAAGCACAGACAAGAACAAAAGCAGCCAGAGCTGGCGTTCCTGCGCTGAAGGGACGTGAAATAGGATTTATTTCTCCTAAGTCACACAGGGTTAAGGCATCTGTGGAAGCCACGTTATGTCCTTTGGTGGAAAATAAGGAAAGTGCACAACACCGACGAAAAAAAAAAATCAAGGAAACTTGGACATTCCTCCCACAGCAGTTTTAATGTTTTTTTTTTAATGGTTTTTTTTTAATGGTTTTTTCCCCTCCTTCTCCCTTTTGTCTTACTATACCTGCTTTCCACCTTACTTCTCTATGGACCCTTAGCCTCCTTACCTCTCTTTTTTTCTTTATTTCCCCCCCTTTATTTTCTCCTACTATCCCACTGTTCACTTTGTGCATTCTTGCACTCTCCTTATCTTGCACCTTTCTCAGCTGCTCAGGCATCAAGCTCTCTGGGGTAGGAATTGCTGAACACTCTGCGATAAATAGACAGTTTCTATCAAATTCAGGCTATTTTCATCTCAAAGGTCTTTTCCAACCATAATGATTCTATCATTCTACAGGAGTCCTGCTGGAATTCAATTAAAGACATTTGAGCTCTATATTGCATGTAGACTTTATCTTCAGAAAACTAACACTCTTGCCAGAAATGTAAAATCTCTAAAGTTCCTACAGCTTGGAAAAATATAACACAGCTATGAAATACTGGCCACCTATTCCTTTTCAGAAGGATATAGGAGTAGGAAAGATAGAAGTGATGTAGACTGCAAACTCAAAATCTGACTGCTGGTGTTGTTTCTCCAGCTCACAAAATAAAGAATAGAAATACTAAAGTGCACTGCGTCTTACCTAGAGCTATGGCAAATACAACATTCCAATAAACTATACTGCTCTATGACTTTGAAATGAAAATGGAATTACCATACAGTTATTGCTAATCTTAATACAGTATTTCCAGTGCTAAGGATGCTAAAATGCATTCAGAAAAATATAAATAAAACCAGAATCTGCCCAATCTTGTTTTAAATTCATTTCATTGACCAGTCATTTGAATATAGAAAAGAGTTTTAAATGTTTAAAGTCAATGTACACACACCACAGAGTATCTCAGAAAGAGTTTGTCCTTATAATGTCTGTCCTTAGCCAGAATTAAATAGGTTGACATCAGGAAGCAATTAAAAGTATTTAAGAGCACATGTCATTTTCCAGTCTATGATCTCAGTTTAATGTTACAGAACCTACAGAAAACCTATTTTAGCATGCCTATTTTCAGAGCTATATCCATTAAGTAAAATGGAATTTATTAAAAAAAAATCCATTTTGAATAAGCCTTCCAATAAACCAACTTGAGAAATTCCTCCTAAAAACTATTTAAACTAAAGCTTTCTCAGGTTTATGATTTTTTTTCTGACATAACCAGGAACAACAATGTTGGAAGAACAAATAAAATGTGTGCCGTGGAATACTATATTTGCACACTCCAGTAATTCTGTAATAATTTTAAGGTATAAGAAAAATAGTGACAATGAGTCTTACAATCCACCTTCTCTACCAGTGTAAGAGGCAAGATGTTTCGCGTTACAATAAACCAAAAAAAAAAGCTTGAAGAAAATGAACTTACCCATTCTCTTATAAAAATTCTTATTTCTTTGCAACAGCAGCTTTTGCTATAGGAGCGTCTGAAATAAAACACACAAGTGGCAGAGCTTTCAGTCAGCAGTATGGTCATTTCTCAAGTCAGCTTCTGTTATTAGAGTTATATTGTTATAAACACTCTTAGGGAAAAATATGATGATATACAACATGCAATGCTGATGAATACCTAAAATATGAGGTTTTGAAATTTATCTTCACTGCCCAAAGATCCTTACCTGCTCGCCATATTCTGATATCTCTAAACCGAAATTTTTAGCTTCCTTTGTAAAGAAACTGTACCTAGAAGCTCTTTAAGGCCCTCGACCATGAAGCCGGAGTTATTCCTCAAGCCAGTGCAGTACGTAGCGCAGAAGCTTGTCCGGAGAGGAAGAGAAGCCAGGGCCAGTTTAGGACGATGTGCATCGAGGAGCGGTAGATGCTCCAGGCTGGGGAAGGGAGGGAGTCCCGGGAAGCTCGAAGGGGAACGCAGAGGCCTGCGCTGGGGAAGCAGCAGAGGGCCCGGAGGCTGCCAGCACCCAGGGCGCACGGGAGCCACCCTGGAAAGGCCGAGAGCGCCGCGGCCTGCGCGAGACGGCTCGGGGGATCTGAGCAACTCTGTAAAGCGCGTAGAGGGGAAAGGGGGCCGAGCCGGACCCTGCTCGGTGGTATCCAGGGAAAGGACAAGATGCGCTGGGCAGGTAGCAAAACACAAGACGTGCCATTTAAAGAAAACATTTTTCATGTAAAAGTGGTTGAAACAGGCAACCGGAGAGGTTCCTTGGTGGGATTTAAAACCCAGCTGGACAAGATTCCATGCAACAATCCCCATGGACCCTGCTCTGACCAGAAGTGTTTGACCGAATCTCCAGGAGTCCTTCCCATTCCCTTCTATTTAGTGATGCTGCAGATTCAACCAGTTCTGTTAACTCCCCACACAGCACTGAGGTGCCACTGTTGCCATTTGTATTTAGTGACAGCACTTTCGTTCAAAGTATTCTGCTTAACGTAAGAGACAAGGCACGTTAATGGATGACGAGTTCATTCTGTGTATGCACAAGTCTGCCTCTCAGTGAATATACAGGCAGAATTAGAAACACGCAGCATGGGAACCAAGGATGGCACAGCAGATTTTGGAGAACCCACCATATGATGGAGTTAAGAGCCCTTAATGCACAGATAAGCATTTGAGAGAGCTAGCAGCACATAAGCATCAACTAGATAATCTACTTTACACATTGAACGTAAGTATTCACAGAGTAAATTACCCAGGAGCTGCCACAGCTTATACCTTCAAAACAGCTTGCTACACACAGGCTTCCCATGTAAACATATCCTAGGAGGTACTGAAATGAAAGCACATATCTGCAAAACACAGCTGGTATGTTCAGGCACGAGACATATTTCTGGACACTGAAACTGCCCTTTTGTTGTGAAAAAGGAAAACTTTGGAACAGAAATTCCATCTACCCAATTACATGCCAACAGCTACTCTCCAATCATTAACTTAGTGCAATTCACTGAAGTACTGCTGGGAGCCAGCAGATCCGGGAAAACTTCCCCAGCCACTCTGCTTGGTTTCCGAGCTGACGTCCAGGGCTGAGGGCAGCAAAGAGAGTGCTAAGCATTCCGGCAATCCCTGCCTTTGCCTGGAAAAGCAGTGAGCAACAGCAGAGGCATGAGCTGGAATTACCCGCTATGGAGATGGACCCTGGTATGAGGGAGGGAGAGAACAGAACGGAGACCACCAAACCCCACCTCCCACGTCTGGCTAAATGCCCACAATGTAAGCAAGCCGAAGGGAGGCCTGGGAAGTTTTCCCTCCAGCGCAAACTTTCCAGGGAAAATTTTAGAAATGCTGTTGAGCAAAATGAAAGATTCAGCTCTTGAGAAAACGTAGCTCTTTGCCATTCTCGGTAGCTGCACTTTTCAGCTGCAGTTTGGAGCAGGGTATGTTGATTTTTCCATCCTCTCTTCTCAGGACGATCCCATGTAAATGAATGTGAAGTGGCTTGAATGTTGTTTTTGTTATTTTTCAGGCTTCCCCAGGAAGACGCTTTGCATACTACCTAGGCACGACACGAGATGAAACAACAGTCCTTGGCTAGCTGAGGAGAAAAGCGCATCTTCCGCTTACATTGGTTTTGTCTTTAAAAATTGTCTCCATCTTACAGAAACCTTTTCACAAATACCTTCCTTTCCCACTTACACAGGGCCACTCTCCACCTGCACTCTTGCAAGTGGAAAGTTTTTGAACACAAATTCAAGAAAGCCCTTTGAGTTAATTTGCACAGAGATCTCCCAGTGTGAACTGTGAAATGCCAGGAACTCCTCCAAGGAAACCACGTCCCGCTGCTGCACGCTCAGGTACAGTAACAGCACAACGCCATTTTCATTAATTCCAGGAACTCCTCCAAGGAAACGACGTTCCACTGGTGCACGCTCAGGTACAGTAACAGCACAAAACTGAAGGGATCTTTGCTCCCATTTCAACAGGTTGTGCAAACGGAATTCAATCATCCTATGAGCAAATCATGGTTGCTCAGAAACTGACAGGACACCTTACTTTATTATATATCTTTTTCACATCAGAAGGTCACTTGTGCTACCCCTTTCTCTAGCCACAAACTTCTTCCCTAAACTCCAAAAGGATGGCAAAACACCTTATTTTTGTAAACAAAAGAATATATACTATTTTGTGTAAGTAACAGTGGTAGGATAAAATATGTCTGTTTTCAATATAAATAATATCATTAACTACAGGGAGGAATAAAGACAAGCTAGTTAGTGGGCATGGGAGTACATTAACACCTCCCAAAGTGAAGGCATAATTTGAAGGGACTAATACCTTAAAGTTGGGAAAACTGAAACCATTCCTGAACCAAAACCTTACAGCTTCAAAAAGTTGCAAAACTAATTAGTCTTTTAATTAAATGAAATGGAATATGCTCATATGATTAGAAAGAAAAAAATACAGCAGTTATACCCAATGGAAAAAAAAATGCGTTTGGGTCCAGTGGTCTGAATTCAAGTGTATGAAATATAAATGAAAACAGGATAAAAATGCAGTAAGGGTTAGCAGAGTTACGACATGCTAGACCAAACCAGTAGCTAAAAAAAGGAACCAGTCATTTCCTTTATAATGGCAGCTAGATATAATCTGGACTCAGTAAATCAGCTGAGCTTAAATAAATAAGAGGAGAATCTTAAAAAATACGTATTTTCTAAAGCAATGCCACATAACAGTACAAAAATGAAACAATGGGGCTGGAAAATACTAGTGAAGTTCTTCCAAAAATGACATACAACTTATTTTTTGACAATGCTACCAAAAGAAGAGGGGAGAAATGTGGAAAGCAATAGTATTTATAATAAACAAGTGAACAATATTGAAAAATAACATACTCGAAGCTAGATGAAATGAAATCATATGAAACGCAAGAGCCTACAGGTAGGGATTAATGAGTTTCTTTTATGTTATCAGGGCTTGGAAGTTCTAGCCATCCTATGGTCAACTATAAACTGATGGAGCCCCAGAGAGGAGAAAAAAAAAATTAAGGACTTAGGGGAATATCATTAGGGTGACAACTGGTCTGGAGTACCACATACGATTCTAATTACCTGTCTTCAAGGATAAGAAGTTCAAATTCAACAAATTACAGAAAGGAGGAACTGACATGACCAAAGAGCTTGTTGCATGAGAAAAAGTCTTGCTTACTCTTCAAAATAAAGCTGGAAAGAATATAAATATAATTTAATATAAGGATAAATATCGAAGTGGAAGGAGCACTCCAACGTTATTCCTCAGTTTAAGTCCAACAAAAACATAAACTAGCAAATAACAAATCAATATTGCTACTCCAGAATCTGAGTCCAGGGGAATGTAGAAACTAACTGTAATGCTAAAAACTAAAAACTAGTTTTAAGAAAAATATGTATATATTCCACTGTATGAGGCATTTGTTGTTTAAACAAGAGACTACGTTTGGTTTTACTCAGTTTCTATTCCAGCACAACAAAGAATGTGCAATTTCACAACAAATACAAAACAAGATTCATGAGTAGTATCAGCATGGTAGATTTAACCACAGCCTACAGACAGTGGAGAGCACAGAAAGATTAAAGGGCTCAACGTAAAAACAGGAGAGAGAAGGAAAGGACAAAACAGGAAAGCTGGGCAAACAGAAGATCAGAAAAGCAACAACCTGTAGGCGTCTCTGGGCTTCTCTACTGGATCTAGAGGTGTTGAATTAGCTTAGTATTTACTGCATTAGAAATGGTTCTTTTGTGATAAATATCTTCATCCCAGCAACTATGCCCAAGTTGACTGAGCGAGCATTAACATGATCCCACATAAGCCACAGCCTCCTTTCCTCCGTCGACTATATTATTAGCTTATGAGTTTATACAAAGGTAATGGAATAAACACCCTGAAAAGCTGGCATAAAAACAAACATGCAGCTGCACATTTGACTTTTTTTCCATAGAAATCTGATTTGATACTCAACATCTTAAAGAACAGAAAACAAATCCACAGAGAAAATAAATTAGAACGGGAGTAACAGCAGGTAAATGATAAGGGAGATCCCTGCCTCGCAGATGTTACAGCTGGAAAAGGTGTGGGAAGGAATTCTTTCCACACAAAAATACCACCCCACACTCTGTATTTTAAGAGATTGACAATTAGGTCTTAAGTATTAAATGACAGATTAGGAACAAGAAACTTGAGTCAAAGAGCATATCCTCTTGCCAGAATTATTTTTCTTGGGATGTATTTTGTAATATTGCAAAACACCTCATGTTTTCCTTCTGTATACTGGAAATGATGCAGAGGATGTTTGTCAAGGCAATATGAAGAAAACACTTGGTGAGATTTATGAAGGTGCCTGTATTTTAGGTACTACATTTTATAGATGTTTTTTTCAGACTTCACCAAAATCACACTAATGCAAGATCAGTCTAAGCTTCCTGAACATGAGAAGAGATTCACGCAAAAAATCACTAATTTTTATTCAAAATATATTTTCTCTTCCCCTTCAAGAAGCTTA